GGTTGGTGGGGGTGGCTGGGTCTGCATGGGGACCTGCACTGGGATCACCTCTGCAAGCACCACCGAAGGAGCTCCAAAGGAGATCACTAGATCCTGGATCTCAGATGGGGTAGGCACTGCAGGGTCACTGATGAGCTCTTCCCAGGTGAACTCAAAGATATTCCTGATGCCTTTTGGGATGGGAATGCCTGCGTTTCGGCAGACAATGAGGAGTTTGGAGATGTGGGCCAGCAGTTTGGGGGCTGTGGCTGAGTATTGTAGGAACAGTTCTCGGTTACTTTTGGTATGGCTCATGTCGTCTGGGCAAGCATACTGCTAGGTGACACTGTCCATCTCAGAGGAGAGGGACCTTCGGCTGTAAAGACTCAGCAGTCTGAGAAGTGATGTGACTAGGGTCAGAAGCTTTTACCTACAGAGAAGCCTTGGGAAAAGATGGAGTGAACATGCAGAAATAGCCCTCACAGGTCATTGAGCCAGCAGTTTCTGTCTCAGAAGGATAAGAAAGTTGCTGGTCATTCTTCCATGCTAGAACAAAGCATTGTTCCCTTCCCTCTTCTTTCCACCAAAAAGCAATGTGAGTGAGTTACACTGGGATAGGTCTGCTGCTGAGGATGGGCCCAGAGAAGTTTCAGAGAGGCCACAGAAATTGAGTACCTAGATGAATAAAAGGGCCAGGGCAAGGAGAAAGTCTCACCACACCTTTTGTAGTTAGCGCCCTGAGGGTAGAAGATCTGCCTGTGGTCTACTGATAAAAGCCTGCAAAAACAAAAGGATGCCATTGGCTCTCTCCAGAGACAAGGGACTTGGGACTCCTGATCACAAACCTGGGATGGACATTGGATTACTCAATATGTACAGCCTAGGCTAGACTGCAAAGCATAAAGGACAATGGAATCCCACAATTTAATATCTGATTCCACAGGCCATAACCCCACAAAGTCTAAGGACAGCAACAATTGGAAAATGCAGTGTTAGAAAGATGCTATTGACTGGAAGATGTAACAACTGCAGAGATGTTACAGTGTGAAAAATGCGTAACATTAGTGGACTGTGGCAAGCATTTTTCCTCTTTAACAGAGCTGCTTAAGGACTCTAAGTGTTCAAGTAAGCATTGGGGGCTTGGGTTTAGCCAATAACACATTTATGAGAGCATAAATCCCCCTTTGGATCTTATGCTGAACAAGAACAATGCCCAACAATGCCTGCTTATTCCTGAGGGCCTTCATGAGGATTTGAACCTCTGCAGGAGGGCAACATGCAGGACTGCCCATTTGAGGGAAGCTCAAGCTGGACTTCTTTTCCTCTCCTGACCTTTCCAGCATCTCCCTGCAGTGCTGGCTCATTTCTGTCATCTATGTAGAAGCCAATCCAGCATACTTGCCATGATGTCAGCCACCAGAGCAGAGGGCAGACTGCTGGCTGCGGCCAGCAGTGAGTGCAGCTGCCCAGCCATTTCTTTCCCTACTTTCCATCCCGATCACCACTTTTCACACAAGCAATCCTCTTCCCCATTTCAATTTCTGATCCCAAGTTCGGGGACCATTCCAGGACAGCTCCTCAGGCACACACCTGCAGTGCTTGCAGAGAAGGTCCATGCCTACTAGCTGTGCACAACCTGTGCTGAGAAGACTATTCTCTCCTAATTTGTTGATGAGGAACCAGAGCTCTGGACTCAGGGATATCTGCCCTAGAGTTAAAGCATGGAGGCTTTTGCATACACTACACCACTTCTCCCCAGCCTTTGAGCTATCTTTGCCCATCTATCAGGAACAAAGTTCCCAAACAGCAAGAGTCCCATAGGACAAAGCTCCTAACATTCTACAGGCTTGAAGACAAAGTGGCTTCCTGTGTCTATCTGCTGACCTCTGGCATTGCCATTTCTCAGCTTTGCAGACTCAGAAAAATAGATTTGTTCTGGAATGGTCAGTTCACAGAACAAAGACACCACTCAGAATCTCGGGGGATTAGGGCAGCAAGTCAGAGAGGTCTGACCCTAACTGTACAGGGCAGATGACAATGACATTTCTTCTCCCATCACCCCTACCATCCCACTGTCCTCTTTCTCCTCCTTCTCTTTCTCTTCCTTCACTTAGGACTCAAATGATGGAAAGAAAATGACTAAGTAATCCCTGAAATCCCTGCTCTGTTAACTGGGAAACTTCTCCCCCATCTTCCTAACTAGTTCCTACCATTTGAGGTTAATTACAAAGACATGTCATACAAATAGGTAAAAGATGATTCTTCAAACAGGCTTACTGAGCTGTAATCCCCCACACCATATGCCTCAATTTTTGTAACATTTGAACAACTATGTGTCAGATATTCAGAAATGCAGTCAATATTACTATTGAATTTTAGAGTAGTTCATCATCTCCTAAAGAAGTAGATTTGTGATCACTCCCATTTTGCCTCCCTCAGACAACTTCATCTAGCCTATATAGACTCACCTGTTTTTAAGATTTTTAATTATCTTAATTAAATTAATTAAATGTAGGTGTGAGTATGTACACATTAGTGCAGGTGCCTGCAGAGGCCAGAGGCTGGGATAGCCTTGGAACTGAAGTTATAGACAGTTATAAGCTGCTTTTCATGGGTACTGTAAACTGATCTTGGGTCCACTGGAAGAGCAGCAAATGTTAGCTAATGAGACATCTCTCCAGCCCCAGATTCGCCTCTTTTTAGTGTATGTGTATAAACATGCTTATGTGCAGATGTATGTGCATGCTCATGCAAGCATATGGGGACTAGAGGTCAATATTGGTATTGTTTCTCAAGAGTCACACACACCTTTGTTTGTTTACTTGCTTTTCCAGGCAGCGTCTTACTGGAATCTGGGAGTCATCCAAAGGCTAGAATAGATTATCAGTGAGCCCCAGGAATCTGTCTCTCTCTAGTACTAGAACTACAACACACTGCCACACATGGCAAATATGGCACTGGGGGTCAAATTCAGACCATCATGCTTGCATAGCTAGCAAGACATCAACTGAACTATCTCCCAATACCCCATATTTGCCTGTTCTGGACATTTAATATAAATGGAATCATGAATTATGTGGTCTTTCCTACCCCTTTAGGAGCTATTGGCACTTGATGGTTCCTGGAGGAGTTAGTCATATTTGTTTGAGAAAATGACGACTGGTAAGGTGCCCATGTACCAACTGATGGACTCACACCCATGCACATACTAGCAACACTAACTGGACTTGGTGGGCACGATGATTTAAATGAGAAATGTCCCAGGCTCATGTATTTGAACACTTGGTCCTAGATTGGTGGCACTGTTTTGGAGAGGTTATGGGAAACTTTAGGAGGTGCAGGCTTGCTGGCAGAAGTATCACAGGGGTTGGCTTTGCGAGTTTATAACTTTGCCTCACTTCCTAATATCTCTTTCTCTCCTCTCTCCTCTCCCTCTCCCCCTCTCTTCCTCCCTGCCCCCTGCTTTGGGTGTATACATAAAGTTGTAATCAGTCAGCTTCCTGTTCCTGCTACCATGCCATGCCTTCTTGGACATTATGGACTCTGGAACTGTAAGCCAAATTCTAGCTTCTAAAAGTTGCTTATGGTCATAGTATTTTATCACAGAAAAGTAGGCAATATGTGGGATTTAAAAAAAAAAAAGGAAAAGAAGTAGACTTGATATCACCAGGTGAAAAGATTAGGGGATTTTGGAGGGGATTAGTGAGAAGAAATGGAGGTGTGTGAGGATATGATCAAAATACATTATATGCATTATGCAATTTTCAAAGAACAAATAAAAACATAAGTGTATATGTGGTCCTTTGTTATGGTTGTTTTGTTTGCCACGATGCTTTTAAAATGTGTACACGATGGGCCAGGCATGATGGCTTAATTCCAAAATTTGGGAAGCAGAGGCAGGCAGATTTCTAAGTTCAAGGCTATCAAGGTCTACAGAGCAAGTTTCAGGACAGCCAGGGTTACATAGAGAAACCCTGTCTCAAAAAAAAAAAAAATTGGTCATGACTTGGAGACATAATTCAACAGCTCAGAGTGACCCAGGTTCAATTTCCAGAACCCACATGGTAGCTCACAACCATCTGTAACTCCAGACCCAGGATATCTAATGCCCGTCTGGCCTCTTCAGGCACTGCACACATAGTGCACAGACATACATACTTGGAAAATACTCATACATAAAACAAGTTTTAAAAGTTCACCCATGTTACAGCATGCAAAAATACTTCATTACTTTTTGTGGTTTACTGCTGTTTGATGAGACAGTCTCACTGTAGTTCTGGCTTGCCTGAAACCATGTAGACCAGACTGGCCCCAATACTCCCAGAGATCTACATGTCACTGCCCCCTGAATGCTGGAATTAAAGGCATGTGCCATGAGGCTGGAGAAATGGTTCAGTGGTTAAGAGTACTGGCTGCTCTTCCAGAGGACCCAGGTTCAATTCCCAGCACCAACATGGTGGCTTGCAACCATCACAACTCCAGTTCCAGATTTAATGCCCTCCTCTGGCCTTGAGGGCACCAGCCATGCATGTGGTACTTAAACATATATGCAGACAAAATATCCATACACAAAATAAAATAAACAAAAATACCAAGTCTTGTTTTTCATTTTATCATTATGTTTGTGCATGTGTGTGACAGTCAGAGAGCAACCGTGTGTAGTCAACCCTCTCCTTCTACCCAGGCTTTCACAACAAGCACTTTAACCTGCTGAGCCATCTTGCTTTTCCATATATTATTTGGGGGGGGGGGTAAGGGGGGCTGGGGTATTACATGTGTGGGAGGGTATATGCATGTGTGCATGTAAATGGAGGCTACAGGTTAATTTTTAGTGACTTTCTTGATCATTCTCCATTTCACATTTGCTTCTTTTAGACAGTGTCTTTCTCTAAAACTAGGCTGGCCAATTAACATAAGAGATATTCCTGTCTTTATCTCTCTCCACCCCCATTCACTCCTTCACACCACACAGGGACTGCAGCTGAGCCAGACAGGAGTAATAGGGGTCAGAACACAGTTCCTCATGCTTGCACAGCAGGCACTTTACTGATTGAGCCATCTCTCCAGTGCTCAATGCTTGCCTTTCTGAAGAACTCCCAGACTTTACCAAAGCAGCAACACTGCTTCACAGACAACAGCAATGTTATGGAGGTCTCAATTTCTGCATGCCCTTGTGGACAAATCTTGTAATTATTGTTTGATTCTGGTATCATCACAGTGGGTATGAAGTTAGTGATTTGATTTACAATCCCATGTGTCTAGTGATTACCAGGTATTTTATATACATGGAAAAATATCTACTCAGACCTAAGAAC